GTGGGACAAAATCAAAGGGTCCGGGAGGTAAGGAAAGTCCTCAGATCTTGCCAGGAAACCCTGCCAGTCAGGGGAGGGACAAGGGTCAAGGCCCGGTCCCGGACCTGCAGCCCTGGAGCGGGCTGGGGTGGGCTTGCAGCATGGGGGCGTGGCCTGGGGCTCAGGGCTCCCCCCGCCCCGGCGGGCATTGGGCCAAGCCTCTGTGGGCCTGGCAGCAGGGCCTGGCAGCGCGGCCGGAGCATCTCGGTGAGGAGGAAGGGGCTGGGGACGGCCCCAGGTGGACTCGATTTTCTCTACAGAAATCAGGCGAGGTCTCGCGCGGGCGGGAGGGCGAAGGCAGGATGGGAACCACGGAAGACGCCGCTTTGAAGTTTTCAGCCTCAAATGTGCTGCCCGGGGGTGGCCGGGGCTAGGTCACGGCGATCTGTTTTCTTGCTCAGCAGAAGGGATGGGCCCGCGAAGGAGAGAATTCCGGGTATGTGTTGGTTGTCGTGAACTAAAGCCTGATGATTTAGCTCTTGCTCTTAAAATGGGCAAAGTATTCCAAAGTCGTGAACTTTACGTGATTTCGTTTTGCATCTGGGAAAGTGCACACACCGTGGCGTGTGAAGAGTTGCCTGTATTTCACCCAGCGACGCCCTCGCACCCCTGCTCCTGCCCGGAAGGAGCCTCGGGGCCCCAGCAGCCGTGCCCCTCCGGGGGACCCACCACGTCTGGGTGTCTAGCAGCGGAAGTCAGGTTTGCTGTAAACGAGGCGCTTCATGGCTGTTCCCAAGTCATTTATTTACTTTTCAAATGAGGTAGGGCGGGTGCGTGGGGGTCCGTGCTAGTGTGTACATGTGTGCTAGTGTGAACAGAGGAACTAGTGTGCACAGATGCTTTGTATCTGCACCGTGTGTGCAGTGCACACTAATGTGTACATGCGAGCAAGATGGATACCAGCACGTGCACACACCCACACACATGCCAGCACACACAATGCATGTATGCTTGCACACATGTGTGTACTAGTACACACATGCATGGCCAGTGTATGCGCATGAGCTTATTGCTAGCACTGCACACGTGTGTCCCGGTGTGTACTAGTGCATGTGTGTACTAGTGCACCCATGGCCCCCAGCGTGGGCAGAGGGGATGGGACCTTGGTCAGGAGTAGGACCGGCCACAGGCTCCTGAGCTGGGTTTGCAGCCTGGACTCTGGTGGGGCCACAGCAAGGCCCCGCTGACCATGGAGACATGAGGGTCACACAGGGCATGGGGTGAGCCCGGCCCCCACGCTCACCGGCAAACCTACAGGCGGGGAAGCCCTTGTGGACTCGGGGGTGGGGGAGACTGTGGCTGCTCGCCCGACACCTGCTTTTCCCCAAACCATGTGACCCTCCACGGTGCCCTGCCCACAGGACTCGTTATGTCCGCTGGCCCCAGGCCAATGTGGTGTCCAGCGCCGGCTGTAAGCCAGAGCCTGTGGCCAGCAGCCAAGTGTGTGGACATCCTGATTCTCCCCGATCTGGGCAATGGCCAGGGCCACGGCCACCCAGGTGCCAGGGCGCCCATCTCTCCTGCGCCCAGGCCCCACCTCTGCACAGGTGGCCACCAGGCCTGTGCTTCCACGTGCAGGCACTTTTAACTCTCAGGATAAGATGTGGGGTCAGATCCTGCTCCCAATGAGGCCAGGTGCGGGCAGGAAGGTCAGATTCTGCAGTTGGTCAGCGGGGCTGCTGCGGTTCCAGGGAGAGGACGAAGCCCCTCAGAAAGGAGGGCCTGGGCCTCTGCAGTCCCGTGGGCTGGGCATCCTTGAGCCACACAGGCCTGTGGACGACGGCCCCTGTGCGTGCCGAGCCACAGAGCCCAGCCCTCCTGTTCCCACCGTGTGGCCAGCTGCTCCCCCAGGAGCCGGCCGGAGGTGTGGACTCTCAGGCCCTCGTGGACCTGGGGAGCCGGAACCTGCACTGGCACCAGACCCCAGGCCCCCAGCATGCCCAGCAGCGCCTATAGAGCAGAGGATCCGGCCATCTGAGGGCGCACACCGCCCCCTGCAGGCCAGAACGCATACTGCGCCCCACAAGCTGCCCTGCGGGGTGGGCACCGGCTGCCAAGGGCGTCGCAGCCACCCTGGCACGCGTCAGGAGATCCTACTCTTCAAAGGAACGAACGCCTCCCTGTGCCTTGGGGTTTCTCTGGGGTGACCCAGTGACCTATGAGCCCATCCCTATTACTGCCGAGGCTGGGTCCACGTCTGTAGTCACCCAGCACATCTTGGGGGGGCATGTCCCCCAAGGGGGCGAGGGGACAAGGGGTGTGGCCACGGCTTTTCTCCCACTTGCTGCTGGATGCAGGGACAGAGCCAAGCCTGCGGACAGCAGGGTTGGGTCAGGCTCCCGCCCTGAGGCCCCAGGTGGCTGTGCCGGGAGCTGTGTCCTTGGCACCCAGCGAGCTCCAGTGTCATGCACACGAGCGGCGGTGACAAGACGGACGTGCTGTGTGTGCTCAGAAAACAGACCCAGCAAACGACGTTGCCAGCCGCTGTCTAGCTCCTGCCTCCCAAGGCTCACCTCGGCCCCTGCTCAGAAGCGCCACGAGGTGGCAGCAGCAGTTCACAAAGGCCCATCCACTGCTCGCCGAGTCCTCCCCCACTGCCCAGCGTCCTCCCACATGGCCCAATCCTCCCCCACCACCCAGAGTCCTCCCCCAGCTGCGTGTGAAGACTAGACCCTGACGTGATTAGAACGGGGCAGACCCCGGTGGCTGCTCCCTCCTCGCGGGACGCCAGCTGCCCGGACAGGAGGGCAGGATCCCCCTGACTCCAAACGCGAACTCCTCCTGACGTTTTGAGCGTCCAAATTTTGTGTTACTGGGTCAGGGCAAACACACACTTCTGAAAACCTTTGGAATGTAAAAGGATTTCCCTGTCTCCACTCTCTGCCCGTGAGCAAGGCCGCCCCCCACTGTCCAGCTGAAGCTTTGTCTGCTCTGCAGACGAAGGACGCCGGCCCGCTGGCCCCGCGGGCAGCTGGGGGCAAAGCAGTGTCTCAGGCCAAGGGGGCCGGTGCCCTGCTCCCTGCAGCCCTGACCCCCCGTGACCCCTCAGGGAGGTGGGCAGTGATGCCTGGCACAGGGGTGGGGGGGCGGATGGCCAGTCAGCAGGTGGCGTGTCCTGGGCAGGCTGTGTCTGGCCGTGCTCCTAGGGCCCTCATGGGTCTCCTGCCACGTGTCCTGCACGTTTCCACGTGGCCTTGTGGAGGGTGCGTGATACCCGAAGGCCCTGGGGTGGAGCCGCCCCCGGACCTGAACCTCATGGGGTCTCATGGAGCAGCTCTGGGCACAGCTGGCAGAGCAGGCCGGATGGAGGCAGCCGGGGCCGCGGGACACGCGGACCTGCAGAGAGCAGTGTGGGCACTGCACGCTTGGGGCGTCCGAGGGAGCACTGCCTGGGCAGGCCAAGCTGGCGCAGGGACGTCCACTGTAGAAGGCCCAGCCGGCTGCCTCACTGGAGAGGGGGACGCGGGGAGGGGCAGGGTGCGGGACAGCAGGCTCCCAGGACCTGATTCCCAGCAACATGGGGGCACCGATGCCCCCGCCCTGCCCTGCCCCAGGCTCCTGAGCCACCTCGAGACCCTCAGCCTGCAGCCCTGCTCTCACGATGCTACCTGCCCCGTCCCGGGGACCCCTGCCCACTGCCGGAGAGGGGCTCCCCTGTCTGCAGACAGGAGCCTCAGCCTGCTCCCCGATGGACACAGCAAGAGTCACCCGGATCCGTCACGGGCGGAATCGGCGTGTCCAGCAACCATGGAGGGGACGCAAGTCTTAGTTATTAGACGCCCCTTCTCAAGGGGCACGGAGCAGGGCTGGTTTAGGGAGGTTCCTGCGGGCCTGGGCCATTCCATGGCCACCGGATGCAGGCTGAGGGAAGGTGGGCACCACCCGGGCAGGCCTGGACTCGTATTGACCCCAGCCCTGGCGGAAAATGGCCTCCTTGGTCTAGGAGTCCTGGCGTGGGACTGGCTAGCGGGGAGACTGCACTGGCCGGTTGGCGGCCCTTCTGACCGCTGTCCTGCCAGTGCCCCATCTGGCTGGCTTGGCCATGCCCAGGTCAGTCAAGCAGCCCAGATCAGACCAAGTCACCCTCAGAGTGGCTGCCCCATCTGCTCCGAGAAGGCCACACATTTCACTCCTGTCTTAACCTCCCCCGCCCCCAGCGCTCCTAGGCCCAGTCGGGGACAGGGCCGGGCAGCGTGGACAGGTTCTGCTCCAATGTTCTGCAGAAAGGCAGGGCCCGCAGCGTGGAGGCCAGGGACGGGCCTGGACAGGAGTGTCCCGGGCAAGCCCGGCTCTCGTGGCCCCCTCTGGGGTCTGGTAACTCCCAGACTGAGGGGCCTCTCTTTTGGGTGGAGGCTGAAGGAGGAAGATGTGAGCCCGGCTACCCCGGGGAGGTGCTGGGAGTCCCTGGGGCCTACAGGGGCAGCTTCAGCCAGGAGGCTGCCATGGGGGGGCCTGGGGCAGCGCTCTGCTGCCAAGGACCCCACAGCTCTCCAGGGCGCCCGATGCGGCACCCGTGGAGGCCCCTGGAGGAGGGCGGTGGCGCTTCCTGCGGCTGACAGTGGGCGCGCGCTCCTGGGCCCACCCCCAGGTGACCACCCCAGAGCCCCTCTGCGTCCCGAACCCCGCGCGGGCTCCTGACAGGCAGGCCCAGCCGGAACGCCCCCAGGCCTGCGGCCGAGCCCAGCTCCAGCGGAGAGCGACGTCGCCAGCCCGAGGCGCAGGTGCGCCCGCCCCGCGCAGGTGCCCGCGCTGCCCGCCCCGCGCGACGCCCCGAGCCGGTCTCCGCCCGCGGCGCGGCCCTGCCCCCCCGCCGGCCCCCCCAGCCCCCCCCGCGGGCGCGGGGTCCACGCAACAATGGGCGTGGGCGCAGCGCGCTCCCGGGCGGCCAATGGGCGGCCGCGGGGCCGGGCCGGGCGGCGCGCGAGGTGACAGCCGGGCGGGCGGAGGGGCGCACGGGGAGGCCGAGGCCGTCCCAGCGCCGCCCGCGCCCGCGCCCGCCCGTCGCCGCGATGTCGGTGGCGGGGCTGAAGAAGCAGTTCCACAAGGCCAGCCAGGTAGCGCGGGCCCCGGCCGGGCGGGACGCGGCGGCCTCGACCCGGCCCCTTCCCGCCCCCTTCCCGCCCCCTCGCCCGGGCGGCGCCGCGCGGGGACCTGGCGCGGGGAGGGGCGCGGGGACCGCGGCGCCCGCAGGGCCCCCCCTCCGCCCTCCCGTGTCCACCCCCCGCCGCGCCACGGGCCCGGGATGCCCCGTCCTCGGCGCCCCCAAATGCACCCGCGCGCCGAGCCCCACGCCAGGGCCGGCTCCCCAGGGTGCGCGCGCTGGCGCCGGGCTCCTGCGCCCCAGAAGCGGGTCTGGGGGGAGACACGGCCGGCTGCGGCGTAAACAAACGGTGGCGCGCCCGGCTCAGGGCCCCGCAGGGCCGGGGGAGCCTTGCGGAGGAGGCCTGTGAGGAATTAGACCAAGGAGGCATTGTGGTTGGGGGTGCGGGTGTGGAGCTGGGCGCAGAGGAAAAGGGGGAGTAGAATTGGGATGTGTGGGGTAACGACAGGCGGGTTTGTGTTCCTGGAGCGCAGTCTCCCCTGCCAGCTCCTCCTCGTGCAGCTCCCCACGCTGCACCCCGTGTCCCGGCTCCCTTCCTCTGCAGAGCCCCCCAGGTTGCTTAAAAACAGGGCGATGGATGTAATTTGGAAGCCACATTTGGGGTGAGTTTCGTCCTGCTTCTCCCACGAACACGCGCTCCGGAGAGCAGATGGAAGGAGAGGCCGCCAGGGGACTCTGCCTCAGGCCTGGTGTCCCTCACTGACCCTGGAGAAACCGGGGCACCGGCTCCCAGCCTGGGCAGGGGTGAACAGTGGAGTTATTGAGGGCGACGAGGAGCCGGGAGGTGCAGCCGCCCCGCTGCACCTGACAGTCCTCTGGGACCACGGGACATCAGAAGTGACCGGCCCTGGGGCGGTGTGTGCCCCGACCTGTGGCTCCTGGGGAGGCCAAGGCTGGAGCCACAGGTGACTTGGGATTTCCAGCACGAATGGAGGTTTTAAAATATCAGAGAAAGGCAAGGGAGAAAGCATTGAGCGGGCCACGCAGACCAGGGGGCCAGAGCGCTGAGGGACGAGGGGTAGCCTGCTCTTGGATGAGTAGGAAGCGTCATAAAGGCTTGTGGAATAAATGAGACTTTGGGGAGCCCCGGCAGGAAAGAAGTGGTAGTGTGCAGGACAGAGGGGGTGTCCTGGAACTCAGCGAGGGTGCTGTGAGGGACAGGCTGGGCCGGGCAGGCAGGGGCCAGGGGACCGGAGCCCCCGGGGGGCTGTGCTGGCTGCGCCGGTGACCTCAGCGCTGTCGGGAGCCGTGGCCAGCTCGGCCCGTGGGCGCACGTCTCGGCGGCGACGCACCCTTGCTGCTGCCACCTAGCCCTGAGCACCAGCCCGAGGGGACGCAGGACCTCAGGGGGGCGACTGCTTTGGGGAAATGGGGTGCCGGGCCGAGGCCTCTGGTCCGTCCGCCATTGCCCACCAGCGGGAGGCGAGCAGAGGCTCCGGGTCGTCGGCCTATTTTTTTGCCTGAACTGAAATCACTGAGACTGTGCGAGGAAAGCCCTCACAGGCTCCGTCTGGGCTTTGTGGTCCCAGGGCCCGTCAGATACGTTTTTCTCTCTCCTAGGAGTCTTTCTAAGAAATTTTGCAACGAAACAGACTTGGTGGAGGAGTTAGGCGGGCTGATGTAACACGAGGGCAGGGTAGTGAAAAACGCCAGCTGTTCTCCTGCCACGACGTCTGGACAGCAGGTTTCGAGCCTTGCGTGCAGGCCCGGGCAGGGGAGGGCGTCCATGGATGCCAGCGGCGTGCTGACTCCGGCCCGGTGCCTGGCATGCTCTGGCCTCAGGTGCCGCCGCCGCCCGGGGGTCTGCTGGCGGCCTGCGGCTGGGGGCCGGCAACACCGTGGGTGTACACGCCCCTGAGCTGGGCGCACTTGCGGGGTGAATTGTACCGGACGTGGGTTACCTGGATCCACGCAGCTCCCGGCCCCCCCGTTCCTGAGGAACTCCCGGGAGCAGTCAGGGGAAGACAGGAGACCCAACGGGCACCTTTCACCAGCCGCGGGGGCAGGCCCAGCTGCCGGGGGGCTCTCAGGGACAGGCAGCACAACCGGTGGCCAGTTCCGGAGCCGGCCCTTCCTCCTGCCGCCTTCCCTGTCGCCTGGAGACCGCCCCCTTGCGCGCAGAGGACAGGCAGCCGCGGCTCGGCCCGCTCGGCACCTCAGCGCAGGAAGGAGCAGGCGCGACGCCCCCCCCAGCACCCAGTGACTCCTTCCTGGCGCTTGGGACCAGGCTCGCAGCTCATGCCAGATCCTTTTCTCAAAAGGATATTTTAATCAAGTGTCTTTCTCTGCACAGCGGCTCATTGGGGGTGCAGCTCGGGCTGCTGCTGGGTGACCCCGGGAGCTGAGGTGGCCACACGGGCCTGGCCAGTGGCCCGTGGCTGTAAATGGCCACCTCTGCGACCCAATGCCTGTGCTGCGTCGTGGCGCGGGGACGCCCGCCCGCCCTCTGCTGCCCCCTTCCCGCTGGACATCCAGGCCCCCCAGGAAGTCTCGGGACAGCCGCCATCTCCTCCTCCCCTGCTGAGAGCAGCCCCGGCGACCCCGGACTTCGTGTCACGTTTGCTTCGTTTTGCCCCGGGGTGGGGGGCCTTTCCCCTCCAGCCTGTGACGCGGCTCCAGGGAGGGGCTGGTGACTGCAGCAGTCCCGAGGGGCCAGGTGGAGGCCACGGCCTTGGGCCGTCCTGGGAGCAGAAGTGGAACTTGCCGGGAGGGGCCCTCACCCCGCGGGGCTCGAGGAGCTCTGGGCAGTGTTCCCGCGTTCCCGCGCCACTACCTCCTTCGGGAGGAAACTGCTTAAACGGCTTCTCTCCGCGGCCTCTGGAGGATGGCTGCCCCTGCTCCCCTGGTGGCGACCGAGCCTGCCAGCGAATGCTCCGGGGCGCCCCGACGCACGTGTGCGCGGCAGGGCTGCCGTCTCCCCACACACCTGCTCACACCTGCACACACCTGCCCAGGGCCTGGCGGGCCCCTGAGCCCCGGTGATGACCGCCTTCCCCGAGCACCCGCGTCCTCCAGCAGCCTGTCCTGCTGCTCCAGCCTCCCGGGGACGCAGAGCCCACTCCCGGGTCCTCGCGGCTCCTCTTTCCCTTCTTGACCCGCCGCTCCTGCCTCCGCCGCGAGGCCTGGGCACGCGCACGTTGGCGGTGCCGGCTCTGCCATCCTGGCGTCGCTTGTCCTGCGTCTCAGGCCCTGCCAGATGTCACCAGCAGCCTCTCCCAGGGCTTGTCAGGGCACAGGTGGGCAGTGGCCGCTGGCCGTCCCTCCTAGGGCTCCGAGCTCCCTGGGCCCTGAGCTCTGGCCCTTGATGGCGCAGGGACCGGGCCATGCGGCCACATAAATTTTGCTCTTGCTGCGCGGCTTGGTCTGTCCCTCTCTGACGCCTGCTTTGTCTCGAGCTTTGGCTTTTATAAGTTAGGTGGGCGCAAGCAGCAGCCAGGCGCCGCAGGTTGGGGGGCAGGACGGGCGACGCTAAAGACAGACCACCCGGCTGACGGTGGTTCTCCCCGTTCTGCTGAGGACAGACTTCAGGGTGGGGCGGGGAGCGGGAACGGCCAGGGCTGGTTGAAGGCAGGACACGTCACGCAGAAACCCGGCCCCGGGAACCCAGGTGATGTCATGACCTGATGTCACTTCAAGTAAGAAAAGGAAAGGCTTGAGATTTGTTAGACAGGAAAAAAAAAAAAAGAATTTGAAAACAGGGGAGGCAGGGACCTGGCAGGAAGGCCGCGGTGGGGCGAGGGTGGCTCTGGCTCCCTCTGCAGCCTCTGTGCCGCCGCCTGGTCTCGAGAGCTGCTGGCTGCCCGGTGGTGCTGAGTGGGGCTGTGGCGCGGTCAGATCCAGCTTTGCTGGTCTGACAGTGTTGGCTCCTGTTAAATTTAAGAACTGTATTTGGATTTTTTTTTTTTACAGATTTCTTTATTTATGCATACAACAGCTGGGGTACAGGCCAGAGGTGTGGGGGGTGAGAGGATTCACCAGAGACAGAGGGGGGAACAGAACAGGCAGATTGACTGAAATACATTGCTGAGGGGAGCAGCGGGGAGACAGGAGAGGTCTGCTGCGCCATGTGGGTAGCTCCCTGGCTGGCAGGGGATCACACTCATTCTGCAGAGGCTGCGGACAGCTTCATAGGTTGCGTCTTAACCCCTTGCACCACCAGGGAGGCCCTAAATTTTTTTTTTAAGATTGATTTATTTATGCAAGAACTGGGGTACAGACCAGAGGTGTGGGAGGGTGAGAGGATTCACCAGAGACAGAGTGGGGAGTGGAACAGGCAGATTGACTGAAATACACTGCTGAGGGGAGCAGCGGGTGAGACAGGAGAGGTCTGCTGCGCCATGTGGGTATCTCCCCAGTCGGCCGGGAATCGAACCCGCACTGCAGAGGCTGCGGACAGCTTCACAGCGCTGTGCTCAGCCCACTGCGCCACCGGGGAGGCCCCATATTTGAAATTTTGAAAAGATGATTCATGTTTCTAGAGAAGAAAGAGGGCAAAGTTCTTCTGGGAACGTGCTGGCTTTCATCATGCCTCCAGGTCTGGATAGCCCAGGGTTGAGTGGAAGCTGACCCGTTTCTGTTCTCGGAGGAGTTTGCAGCCTCTCTGGAGAAGCCCCCCTCCCCCGCCCCGCCACGTGCTTCAGTCTCACAAAACCTAGTCTAGATCAGACCCTGCGTAAAGCTCAACCCCAGAGTGACCACACTCATCTGGCCGCAGCTTCTCTGCGTGTCTCTGAGGCTCCAGGCCACGCGCTCCCGGAGGCCTGAGCTGGTCAGCCCTGGTGTGAGGGCGGGTGGGCGAGGTGGGGCTGTACTCATGGGCAGCACAGAGCGCTCTTTGTGGGGCTGCCGGTGGCCGTCACAGCAGGGTGCCCGCGCTGTAGCACAGCCCTGCCTGGCGCGGGGCGCCCCGTCCCGCCCAGAGATGCAGAATCCTCCACATATGAATAAAACAGC